GATCTGATCTGTGCTGGTCGCTGAGGAAATACTTCAACTTTCACCGTGGACGAAGCGGAATCCAGCCCGGGGTCCGTCACATGTGGTTGCCGCTCATTCGTCGGATCCGCCGGGCGCGCCGTTCTCGACCCCGCCGCCTCAGCTCACTCTTGCCCGGCTTCAGCTCAGGCTAAGCCGGGGCTTTCGCTCACGCTAGGCCGCTGTGTTTTTCGTTGTGAAAGCGAAACTACTTTGTTTGGTCTTCCAAAAGAGGACACGACTAGAAATCAGTGGTTAAGTTGTATTTACAACACTGTTCCAGAACAGTTCAACCCAAATATTCAGATGTGTGCAGTGCATTTTATGGAGGACTGTTTCCTGATTCTGGTAGAGTAGACTACAATGCCGGCTGTTCTGACTCACAGACTGTAAGTACGTTTTCATTTGAAGAATTTGCCACTGATGATTCAAACGCGAGTTTTGAGCAGTGTAGAGTAGCGCTTGTTGTTTGTCATTTCTCCATCACAAATGCACTTTTCTGCATTAGACATGGTTTTATGTTTACGCGGCGCGATGCAACGCGTAAAAAGACAGTATAAGTCATTATAATCCGTAATTATGTCCCCACTGGATGCAACAAATGCCTCGTTTATAATGAATGGGTTTTATTGGTTTTGTCTGGTCGTGCCAGGACACGACATCACAGTATGGTAAGGGGCGTAACATTTCCGTCACACGCTTGAGGTATTCGGCCAATCACAACGCACTGGATAGCTGGCCAATCAGAGCACACCTCGCTTTTCAGACGATGAGCTTTGTAAAAATCGACGCGTTTCAGAAAGGCGGGGCATAGAGGAGAAACAATAATGTACAGTATGTGGAAAATAATGTGTTTTTTTAACCTTAAACCGCATAAACACATTTCATTACACCAAATACACAAAATAATGTTCATTTTAGCAACATCATATGACCCCTTTAACATATTTACTGACATATCGCTCGAGACTTACTGATATAAAAACTATAATTCAACTTTATTTGGAGTACTACTTGTGCACAATACATATTTCTTATTATTAAGCATAAAATATGTTTTAATGTCACTATTGACGAGGATTTTATGATCTTTTAATAATATCGGTCTTTAAATGCAAGATTTTTAAAGTGTAACTGTGGTATACTTGCAATAGTTCCACTTTAGTACAATCAAATATGCTTATCAAATATCAGCTCTACTTCCGCACAATTAAAGTGCATTAAGTACAAATTAGTTGTTCAAATTTAGCAGACTTGAAGTATACCAGTTAAGTGTACTAAAAGTACAATTGCAGGGCATTTTAGTAAGTACATTAATATGAAAATGTATTTGAAGTATACTTAGCATGAAATATATTTATTTTTCACTAGGGTATTTACATTTATTATATATACATTATACTATATATTTTTTTATTATTTCAGAAGCTAATAAAAGAAGTAAAATTAGACAAATAATAAAAAAAAAAAGTTTTTAAAGATTGATCTTAGATTAGAATCCAGCTGATATGCATTGCAGCAAACCTGTTTTCATTAAGGAACATAAAGGGACATTGAGAAAAAATCCCCTTGAAAAGGAAAACATGTTGAATTTCCTCATTTTACTCTCAGATCCTGATTAGCAACTAGATGTGAACTGATGAAATGATTGGCAGTACATTTTTAACCTGTTTCCTGCCAATATCATTTTTCAAAAAAGTTTCAACATTTTTTTTTTTTTCATTCCACAACTTATTTTGGGTCAACTGTCAACAGTTCTCATTCTTTACCATCTTTCTGTACACACTCACATCGATCATAGACAAACTTGTTTAAAGGCACATGCTTGAAATGCATCCTTGCATCGGGGTGATTTATGCCCTTTTCACTTGTTGCACTTTTTGTCCCCACACCGGCATGAAATAGCTTGCAGCAGGGATGTATGCGAGGTTCTAAAATAAAAGAGGGGTTTTGCAGCGATGCCATAGAATAACTGCTTTGGGTTTCCCTAAGAACCTTTCAGTAAACAGTTCTTAAAAGTAACTTTTGTAGAATGGAAAAGTCCCATGAATGTTAAAGGTTCTTCACAGAACCATCAATGCAAATAAAGTACCTTTATTTTTAAGAGAGAACAGTGTTCTAGTGAAGCCACAAAACAATTATGTCCCTAATATACAGTACATCCAGCTAAATAAAAGAAGAACTTTATGTGGCTTGATTTTTTTTTTTTTACATTTCCTATCTAATTGCTATCATTTATGTACATTTTGACATTTTTGATCCATGACCGGATCAGTACATCATATTAGCAATTTTCAAAACCGCATAGATAGTATTATATCATTTTTGCATAATCAGATTAATATTCATGTGATGCAAACATGTGCCACCTCACCTTCCGTGAACCAGTCACAAGATTCAAATAATTGCCAGAAAATGACGTGCAAAGCATTTCAAATATGCTATCAACAGGTTCTCGTGATTATCATTATCAGATGAGCAAAGTTGCAGCAGGATCTCAGTTTTCAAAGCACACATAACAATGAATCTTAGAATGCCAGAGGTGCATTTACATCTGCTTAAACAGTACAGCAGTAAAAGTCTTCTTTCATTCTCTGAAGTATAAGCTTATAAAATATAATACCTGAGTGAACTTTGTAATGTTTGCACTGACTATCACTCTGTGTTAATTGATGTGATTTCATTCTCAAATCAGTCGTATGGACAAAATGACTCCGCAAACTGATTCATTTTGCATATTCTTTCAAGATGAGATATCCATCTAAAACTGTAAATACAGTCAAATAAGTCACATGAATAGCCTGCAACGCCATATTTACTATTTTGTCAGATGGTTGCAGAGAAATCTTTATTGGAAAGTAAGAACCATTATACAGTAACAACATTTCTAGCAAGTTTATTTTGCTTGAGAGGAAAAATGAATAATAAATATGCTCTGTAACTATACATAACCAACAGTGGGGTTCAAAAGTCTGAGTCCACTTGTGAAAATGCTCCTTTTATAATATAGTGCATTTTTGGTTAAATATAACAGTTTAAGTGAAAAGCTGAATAGAAAAAAAATGAACATGAATTTACTGATGTCTCAGTATTTGGTGTGTGATGATGATTATGTTCCCCAGCATGATTTGAGAAAAACAGCTTCTTTATTTTACATCATAACATTTTTCTCTTTTATATTCTTAAGATTGAAAAAAAAAAATGTATACATATTCACGTTATAATACACATTGTATATTGAGTGCATTTGTGGACACAGTCCTGAACGTGTGCTACTTACATATATTGCATTATTGGGCACATATGAGAATAATCTGGAGAAAGACCTTCAGTGATTGGTTAAGAGAAACATCTATTGGTCATATTTCTCCAAATGGGAGAATTGCTGCAGAGTTCCCATGATGCCTCCTGCATGAAAGTGATGGAGAGAATCATACAAGAAGTAATGCATGGTTAGGTGGATGTAGAAGCATGTGAAAAAATGCAATGTATTAATTTTTTCTTTTCCACAGTGGATTAAATTACAGCACAATCTAAAGAAAAAGAAGCAAGGAAACTCAAGTGAAAGACTATGCTGTAGATGTAAAGAGTTTATAAGGAAGAATGAAAGAGGAAATACTGTACTTTACATTGTAGCAAAGTTTAATTCTTCAGTGTTGTCACATGAAAAGATATAAAATATTTACAAAAATTTGAGGGGTGTACTCACTTCTGTGAGATACTGTATATGTCAAGGTGGATTATGGAATCAATATGATCAACAGACCGAACTTGTTTGCTAAGTAAATTCCCCATGTCAGAGAGAACAGTGTTCCAGAAACACGCACATGTGTTTTTTCTTCACATGGTATATTTGGCACAGAATTGCTTTGTGGTATTTTGCGTAAGTCTTAATATAAAATGTTTTTGAGCTTTGAGCTTTTTAATCTATTTTTTGGGCTAATTTTTGTGAAAACACTGTGTGGAGTTGGTAAGATTTTTATGTTTTTGAGAGAAGTCTCTTATGCTCACCAAGTCTACATTTTACTGTAAAAACCGCAGTCCTGTGAAATACAGTATTATTCCTATTTAAAATAACTTTTCTATTTGAATGTATTTTAAAATGTAATTTATTCCTGTGATGCAAAGCTGAATTTTCAGCATCATTACTCCAGTCTTCAGTGTCACATGATCCTTCAGAAATCATTCTAATATGCTGATATGGTGCTCATTATTACCTCTTTTGAAAACAGTGCTGCTTAATATTTTTGTGGAAACTGTAATGCATTTTGTTTCAGGATTCTTTGTTGAATAGAAAGTTCAAAAGAACAGCGTTTGATTTTTTTTTTGTACCATTATAAATGTCTTTACTGTCACTTTTGTTTCTTAATGCATCCTTGCTAAATAAAATTAATAATAAAAACAAAATTTGCCAAGGGGGAACTGTCTGCTTTAGTATATCTGCTAGTGAATAATATATCATCGAAAGAGAAATATGTAGCCTACGTCCTGTATATGCTCCATGCCAAGCTAAATTGTAGGAATTACATTTCCTTGTTCACTCAAAGGACTAGCTGTTTAATAAGGCCATTTCATTCACACATTTGACAATGGCAGTAACTGCCATTTTTAGAATGTTACAGTTCGAGTTAAGGGCTATAGTTAGAGCTTATCTGCATTAACTATTAGTTAACATAAATCTTTGATGTGTGCCAGAACCTGCCATAAAGTTTTCATCTCTTTCGGATCTCAACTTCAGATGTGATTTATGCAATTTCTTTTTTATGAACATCAGTGATTTTGAATTCAGTAAAAATTAACAATGAACATTGTATTTTCGAAAGAGTGATTGAACACAATAGGAATATTTTACCCGTGAACTTGAACTGAATGTATCCTTGATGAATGTGTGTGTGTGTGTGTGTGTTTATATATGTAGCCTATCTGTATTTTAATTTTTTTTTAGAATTTTTTATTTATTTTATTTCAGTTATTGTTTATTACTGCAATTGTTTTGAAATGAAACATATTTTCTTTATGGTTTTAGGTTTCATTTATGATAATAAGCCTGCTTGTACTGTAGATTTGGCAACAGTGTCACTTTGTTGCAACAATTTCATTTGTCATTGCTAACCAATACCAGTCATTAACTAACTCTTCAGTGTCACAGTGACAGTCTGTCATGAATGTCAAGCAGGAGAGCCACAGGGTTAACTTGGCTTACTTATTATTGTTTGTTTGTACTAGAGGTGTGCGATATGACGATTTTTGATCATGGACGATAAAAATGTCTCCACGATCTGCTTTTGAAGAAATATCGTAGTATCGTGAGCAGCACCACATAGGCTACATTCACATCAGTGTTAACTCAGCGGTAGAGTTACTCTCACTGGACACTGCACTAATTCGCAATCACAAAAGTGCATTATTTGCATCTACTAAAACAGCGCCTGATTACTGGACTAAGTTATCTTTTGAGCTAATACTGTCAAAACAGTACACAAGGTTTACAAACAGACTCAGTTGGTTAAGTAAACAGTTGAGAGAAAAACGGATGCGTGCAGCTCTTAAAGGGACAGTACTAAACATGCTGCCGACTGTCATTAAATTAAATTTCTGTTATTATTTACTCACTCACACATTGTCCCAAACCTGTATTAATTTCTTTCTTGTGCTGAACACAAAAGAGGATATTTTAAAGAATGTGGGTAACCAAAAACAGAAGCTGGTCCACATTGAATTTGATAGTAGGAAAAAAAATTACTATGGAAGTCACTGGGGACCAGCAACTGTTTGATTATACCCACATTTGTCAAAATAACATTTATGTTCAACAGAAGAAAGAAACTCACTCAGGTTAAAAAACAACAACAACAACAACAACTTGAGAGTGAGTAAATAAATTAATTTGTGGGTGAACTATCCCTTTTAATGTTAATAAAACAACAAAACACAAGAACTTTAATACAGTTGCTTTATATTTATAATTGATAATGTATAATTGATGTATTTAGTGTTTTATTTTTATATTTGTTAATCCAATTCCTTGAATTCTACTTCTAAATACACCTACTGTACCTGAGAAATAAAGCATTGTTCATTTTATTTATGTATTTGTAATGTGTGTCTTTGTTCTTATTTTTTAATAGCAAAGATAAAATAATGACAAAGAGTTTTATCTTCGCCCACTTTGGCCTAAATATCTGCCTAAATATATTTTGTAACCTTGTAAGGCTTTGTTTTTAAAATCTGGAAATTAGTTTGGCTTTACTGCTCAGACAACTTGAAAAATAGTAAAACCAGCATGTCAAAGAATCATGAAAAAATCGTGATATTGCTGAAAAAAAAATCGTGATATGATATTTTTGCCATTTCGCCCACCCCTAGTTTGTATTAAACATTGTTGTCTGCTTATAGAATGGGATGGGAATGCAAATTTGGATCTGGTCCAGGTCTCATCAAAGGTGTGGCCTTCCCCACATGCCACAACCGTAACGTCTCTTTCCAGTCTGAGATTGCTTACATTTAGGTAAACATGGTACTGTATGAATAACCCTAACAGTTATGATTGTCATTTTTGGTAAGCAATCCATCAATGTACACAGAAAACGAAACAAAACAAACAAACAAATCTAGATATACCTGTTTGTATCAATTTCAGGGGCCCATTTTATACTATTTTATAAAGGTAAGGAGACCAGGGCTAGTTGAGGTTTTGATTTCAATTACTCAAATGTGTGTTTTGTCTAGATCAGTGTTATTTTAGTGTCATTGATATACTATTATATTTCTTATTCATATTTAGAATTACATTTTAATTTTTATATTTTCTGGTCATTTTAATTTTAGTTAAAGTTTTAGTAATTTTGCTGTGTTTTTGTCATTTTCATTATTTTAATTTGTTTATAAACTGTAGTTTTTGTTCAGTTTTTAGTTTTAGTTTATTCAGTTATTTTTATACTTCAAGTTAACCTAAACAAAAATGAGAAATGTTGCCCTGGCAACTAATAGATTATAAAACATTAAAAATCTTACTGTTCAAAAACTGTTGACTGGTAGGTTATATAGATTTCAGAAATGTTATATTGTAATGTTTTATATATATAATATTTTATATATATAATTTTATATATATATATATATAACATTTCAGTTAACAATAATAACCCTGATTTGCACTGTATCAACATGTACATTGTATCCACATGACTCCAGTCCATCAATTATTAATCTTGTAAAGTGAATAGCTGCATTTTTGTAATAAATACAAGTCCTCTATCCATAATTTTTCTTTCTTCAGTGAAAAGGGTGTCTCATCTGAATCAGGAGAGAAACATGCACAGATCAAGCACATTTTACAAGCAAAAACAGTCCAAAACAGTGCTACAGTATGTATCAGTGGATTTTGATGCGAGAGGACAAAAGGTGACGGACTTTGTCATTGTAGGAAGCTTTATTATGGATTATAAACTCATATTTTGGCCAGAAGCAACAGTTTAAAGTTAAAACACCTTGATGGATTTTTTATTTTTTTTTTACAAACATGCAGTTTTTCACTTCACAAGATGTTAGTTGATGGACTGGGGTCTTCTTCATTACTGGTGGATTATTGTGATGTTTTTATCAGCTGTTTGGACTCTCATTCTGACGGCACCCATTCACTGAAAATAATCCATTGCTGAGCAAGTGATGCAATGCTAAATTTCTCCAAATCTGTTCTGATGAAGAAACAAACTCATCTACATCTTAGATGGCCTGAGGGTGAGTACATTTTCAACAATTTTCATTTTTGGGTGAACTATTCCTTTAAAGTAACTTTTTTTTCTAGCTCTGCATACATAGCACTAAACGACAACAGCACAAATCTGGTATGTCTTTGCACTTGCTGCAGCTTATCCAATATTTCTGTCAGAAGAATGTACGATGTGAAGAGAGATAAGGATACTGTTGTTACAGTTAACAGCATTTGCACTCAGTGTACCTGATAAACATGTCTCCTGTCTGTCTGTCTGTTTCTGACTGATGGCTTATCTATCCCATAATCCTTTGCTGTGCATGGGTCACTGCACAAGTTTACTTTTTCTGTATGCTTAATATGAGATCATTTGAGGATGAGGTGTTTATACTAGATCGAATTTGGTAGAAAATCACAGTGTAATATTTCCTTCCAGCAAAAGCACTTTTGAGATTTACTAATATAATTATCATGATGAGATTTTCTCTAAATTGGGGTAATTATGTATAGCAGTTATATCGCATTGTAGGATTTCACAAAAAGCAACCCGACCTAGGGTGAAAAGGACAACAAATGTGTGGTTAGCCCTGAATTACCCTTCCACTCCTTATGGTTTTTATAATTAATGGCAATCAAAACCAGAAGTATTGCATTCTTTAACGGAATGATCTGTTCTGAGATAAAAGTTCACACCTACCAATTATGTTCTTCATTTTTATTCGGCTGTCTTATCATTCCTCCTGTCGTTGGGTGTTTCCGCGATGGTTTCGCAGTTCTGCAGAATGTCATGTTTAATGTCTTTATTTACTTGATCAGGGTCAGAATCGCATTTTAAGTTTTGCTCCACATCTGTGTCACTGGCTAGGAGTGATATAGCCTCTTCTCCCTCTTCAACATCACTTATGTCATTAGTCGGATCCAGCTCATGAGTAATACAATATTTTAGGTCCACTGCAGAATCTGTTACAAAAAAGAGATTTTTATCACTCAGTAGCAATCACACGGCTTAATTGAAAAATCATTTTTGATCAAACATATTTCTAATCCAGTGTGACGCTGTATTTTGTTATTTTTATTTAAATATCTTTTTTTTTTTATTCTTTTTATGCATTATTGATTTTTTGTATTATTATGTCACTTGTAGTATTATATTAGTAACTTTAACAAAACCACATTTTGAGATTAATGCACTTAAGTTCAAAGAAAACGTCTCAGCTTTCTAATAAAATAAAATTAATCAAATTATATTTTCTAATATAAAAACTAATGAAATTATTAGAATAATAAAATTATCTTTCTATTCAAAACTATAGTCAATAATCATGTTAAAAAATGTTGCCTGTCAAAAAAAAATTTATTGGAGAAAAAAAAACATTTATTCTAGAAATTATTTCACTGAACTAGAGTATTTATTCAAACATTTGGGGTCAGTAAGATTTTTAAAATGTTTTTAAAATAAGTCTCTTATGCTCACCAAGGCTGCATTTATTTGCTTAAAAATACAATAAATATTTGCTTAAAAATACAGTAAAACTGTATTATTGTGAAATAGTAATAGTGTTTTCTATTGTAATACATTTTAAAATGTAGTTTATTATTGTGATGGACAATGGCATTTATTCTTGCTGAATAAAAATATAATTACTGACCCCAAACTTTTGCATAGTGGTAGTGTGCATTAAATAAGACATCAATTATAGTTTTAAGTTTTTAAAAAAACATTTAAATTCTTTGTGTTCAGTCTGTGCATTGTTTGGCCGATGCTTTGATGTTCTGTAATGTAACTTGCTTGATATTAAAATGTTGCTTAAAGAACTGTCTATCAGTGACACCATTATCATTACCTGTGTCTTCGGGGAAAAGACTGACAGGTACAAGCCCCTCCCCCTCATCTGATTGTCCAGTCCTGGCTTGATTCTCAGATAAAGGTGATGTCTTGGACTCAGCATCAATCCCCTCAGCCAAATCATTGCTGCCGTCCACAATCTTATCCTCTTGAAGCATTTCTGCATCTGTCTGTTGTTCATCCTTCACTGCAGGAGTCTGTTCTGCTGATGTGGCATCTGGGCTGTTCTTGGAGATCTCTGAGGAAGCTTGAGAGTCAATAGATTCAGTCTTCTCTTTTATGTCTGAATCACTTTGATTGCTCAAACTAGAAAGATCTGACTCGACCTGAATGGTTGGTAAGAGGTGCGAGGTACGAGTTGAGCACATCTGTGACTCGTTTTTATCTTGAGTGGTTGAAATACTTTCAGGAATACATGCGTCATTGACTGGAGATGGCTCTGTAGCATGCGATTCTGGGAAGAGTGGTGCATGCTGGGAAAAAACTGTGTCAGCCTCCTCTGTCTGGATTAAAGGTTCCTTCTCATTTTCGAAACCTACTTCTGTTGTCCCATCCCTCTTTATCTCTGTGTATGATTCCTCCTTCCTGAGCACAGTCACGTTCACTGCTTTATCTACATCTACATGTGACATTCGTTCCTTGTCTTGGTTCTGTATGTCCTCTTGGTTTTCAATCAACCCATCTTGTTTGTTTTCACTTTCATGTTCCTCCATGATGTTCCCATATTGTATTTTTTCAATCCCACAGTCTTCTATCATTTTGCAGTTCTGTTGATTTTCGTTTTCATGTTCTGCCAAACTTTTCCCGTGTTCATGTTTTTCTACAGTTTTCCCATCTTGTTCATTTTCTTGCCCACATTCTTCCATCCTTGTCGCATATTGTAATTTTTCAGTCTCAAATACTTCCATGCTTGTCTTGTCTTGTTCTTTATCACTGTCAAATGCATCCATAATTTTCCCATCTGAATTTTCCCATCTGGTTTTTCTTTGCTTCCATGTTCTTCCATCATTTTTCCATCAATTTCTTTTGCACTCTTATATTCTTCTTCACATTTTTCTGCAGTTTTCCCATCTTCCTCATTTTCTTGCCTTTCACTTTCATGTTCTTCCTCACATTTTTCTACAGTTTTCCCATCTTGTTCATTTTCTTGCCCACATTCTTCCATCCTTGTCGCATATTGTAATTTTTCAGTCTCAAATACTTCCATGCTTGTCTCATCTTGTTCTTTATCACTGTCAAATGCATCCATAATTTTCCCATCTCGTTTTTCTTTGCTTCCATGTTCTTCCATCATTTTTCCATCAATTTCTTTTGCACTCTTATATTCTTCTTCACATTTTTCTGCAGTTTTCCCATCTTCCTCATTTTCTTGCCTTTCACTTTCATGTTCTTCCTTACATTTTTCTACAGTTTTCCCATCTTGCTCATTTTCTTGCCCACATTCTTCCATCATTTTCACACGTGTTTTTTCAGTCACAAATACTTCCACAACTTTCCAACCTTCTTCTTTTTCACTTTCATGTTCTTCCAGATTTTTACTATGTTTTTCTACAGTTTTCCCATCTTGTTCATTTTCTTGCCCACATTCTTCCATCCTTGTCGCATATTGTAATTTTTCAGCCTCAAATACTTCCATGTATGTCCCATCTTGTACTTTATCACTGTCAAATGCATCCAAAATTTTCCCATCTCGTTTTTCTTTGCTTCCATGTTCTTCCATCATTTTTCCATCAATTTCTTTTGCACTCTTATATTCTTCTTCACATTTTTCTGCAGTTTTCCCATCTTCCTCATTTTCTTGCCTTTCACTTTCATGTTCTTCCTTACATTTTTCTACAGTTTTCCCATCTTGCTCATTTTCTTGCCCACATTCTTCCATCATTTTCACACGTGTTTTTTCAGTCACAAATACTTCCACAACTTTCCAACCTTCTTCTTTTTCACTTTCATGTTCTTCCAGATTTTTACTATGTTTTTCTACAGTTTTCCCATCTTGCTCATTTTCTTGCCCACATTCTTCCATCCTTGTCGCATATTGTAATTTTTCAGTCTCAAATACTTCCATGCTTGTCTCATCTTGTTCTTTATCACTGTCAAATGCATCCATAATTTTCCCATCTCGTTTTTCTTTGCTTCCATGTTCTTCCATCATTTTTCCATCAATTTCTTTTGCACTCTTATATTCTTCTTCACATTTTTCTGCAGTTTTCCCATCTTCCTCATTTTCTTGCCTTTCACTTTCATGTTCTTCCATGATGTTCCCATCTTGTATTTTGTCAACCTCCTGTTCTTTCATCATTTCCCCAGCTTGTTCCTTTTCACTCTCATGTTCTCCCTCATCTTTTTGTACAATTTTCCCATCTTGCTCATGTTCTTGCTCACATTCTTCCATAATTTTTGCATATTGTGTTTTTTCAGTTTCAGATACTTCCAGGCTTTTCTTGTCTTGTTCTTTTTCATTGTCTAATGCATCCGCAATTTTCGCATCTTGCTCGTCTTCTCTTATATACTGTAACATCATTTTTGCATTTTGTATTTTTTCAACCTCAAGTTCTTCCATACATTTCCCCCGTTTTTCCTTTTCACTGTCATGTTCTTCCTCACATTTTTCTACGATTTTCCCATCTTGCTCGTTTTCTTGCCCACGTTCATCCATAATTTTCCCACATTGTGTTTTTTCAGTCACAAATACTTCCATGTTTTTCTTGTCTTGTTCCTTTTTACTGTCAAATGCTTCCACAACATTCCCATCTTGCTTACATTCTTCCATGTTTTTTTCATCTTCCTCATGTTTTTCTGTAATTTCCCTATCCTGCTCTTTTTCTAGCACACATTCTAACCTTATTTTTTCACTCTCTTGTTCCTCCATAATTTCCCCACTCTCAAATTCTTCCACAATTTTCCCAACTTTATCTTCTTCACTCTCATGTTCTTCCATAAGGTTTCCATCTTGTTTTTCTTTGCTCTCACATTCTTCCAACATTTTCCCATCTTTTCCACTCTCATATCTCTCCATCATTTTACCATTTGATTCTTTTTCACTTTCGTGTTTTTCCATAGTCATGCCATCATGTTCCTCCTGTCCTCTGTTCTTCTTCTCTCCAGTTTCAACTCTCTTTTCTCCACCTCCCTTCCCTACTGCATCTTTCCCCTCATATTTCATCTCTTTTTCTCCATTCCCTTCATCCTCCTCTTCCTCAACCGTAGATATAACCAATGCCCGAGCAGTAAAATCCCTCTCCGCTTCCAGGTCTTTCAGCATTCGTGGAGCAACGGGCAGAGCAGGAAGTGGCCTGGTGGGTGGCTCAGGTACCAAAACACATGATGGAGGAAGAATAGGGTCTAAGGGGTCGTCAAATGTCTCAGGCTGGTCCACAGATGGTTCAGGTGAATTCTCAAAACCAGGGGGAGGTGGAGGAAACTCATCCACTATCTCTGATTCATCTGGTTGGAGCTGCTCAGGGGTTGGTGGAGGTGGATAAAAGACCAGACTGTCTAGTATATCACTGATAGGAGTTTTGATTTCAGATGCAGTTGCATCGGTTGTAGGTGATGGTTGAGTTTGGAGCCGTGGCTCCATCGTCTTAGGTGAAGATAGCAGGATCTGGCTTTTGGTAGATACCACTGCACCATTCTGAAGCGAGGAAGCTATAGTGCTAGTGAAAAGGATTGGGCTCCGGGATGTGGGAGTCGATGGAAAGTAAGGTGATACCATTGATGATCTGTATGGAGATGTAGGTGTAGAAGAAGGTGATTCATTGAAACTGAAGATATTGTCCGTCTGACTGCGATGCAGTCGTCTATAGGGACTCCTGACTACAAAAAAAGAGAAAGAGATTTTGAAACAAACTGTAGGCTACTAAAATATGAAAAGTGCGGTTACAAAACAAAACTAGTCTACTGTCATTATAATCAACAAATCTGTCTACACGTCAAGTGGCAGTAATTTGCGTCACATTACTGTCACGTGATGTGTAGACAGATTTGTTGTACACGCTGTTTATTTTTTTGATGTTGAACATCGCTCACGCCATCTGATATGAAAACATTTTATTAAAAAAATCAAATGTATGAACTGATTACTGTGAATTCTATTCATTATATATTTATATAACTGACAACAGATCCCAATACATTTTAGTTGCTAACATTACTTAATGCATTAATTATGAACTAAACATGAAACATTTTTTACAGCATTATTCTAGGTTAATGTTCATTAGATTTCATGTTAATCCACACTACTGTTCAAAAGTCTGGGTTAAGTATGATTTTTTTATATTTATTTATTTTACTATTTAAAAAAATTCACCAAGGCTCTATTTATTTGGTCAAAAAAGTACAGTAAAACCGTAATATTCTGAAATATTATTACAATTGAAAATAACTGTTTTCTATTTTAATATATTTTAAAATGTAATTTATTCCTGTGATGCAAAGCTGAATTTTTTTGTAGCATCATCAATCCAGGCTTCAGTGTCACAAGATCCTTCTGAAACATTAACCTAGATAATGCTGTTAATGTAGCCTATTGTTCATTGTCATTTTATAATAGCTAATACAGCAACTGTGGTAAATGCTAACAAATTGAAAATGTATGGCCTTTACACGGATGCCATAAAAATGCCAAAATCAATTACGTTGGATTTTAAAATAAGTTCTCAAATGTAACGCATAAAATATTTGTTTGTGGGAAGATTATGTGGCCGTTTCAGTCAATGGAAACACATTTACACTTTACCTGGAGATGTGGAGCTGGGACTGGAGGCTGTGTGGACACTTGAGGAGGACAGTTGTCTGAAAAACTCTCTGGGGTTTACAGCACGCTGCGACACCAGAGCTGCTGCCTCCTGATGGCCATAAACAGTATTACATCACAGCATGAAGATCGCAGGGCACATATTTACAAGAGTGGGTTTAGTGCAGGTTTAATTGACAGAACTAACCGCAGCTTTTTCCTCTGATTGAGAGCGTGAATATGTAGCTCTAATTTCCTCTTCTTCACGCTCCCTTTCCTCGTGCTCCTGTGATATAATATAAATTAAGAATATATACGTGCAAGCACACATAGAAACAATTTAATCATACCCATTTTATGTTCTCCCGTTTCTGGGCCTCTGCCCCCATTTGCGCCTGTCTTCTCCTATTAAAAAAAATAAGTTCACCTTTGACCCTTGGGAACTTTTTGCATGCATGCATGAGAATGTTTGACTGACCTCTGCTCCTTTATTTTCTGTTCTTTTTCATTCATCCTCCTCTCTCTCTCTATTGCATCTCTCCTTTCCTGAAGCAATTGTTCCTTCTCTCTCTGCCTCCTGTCCTCTGCTGCCCTCCGCTGTTCCTCCTTTTTCCTTTCCTCCTCTTCTCTCTGGAAAATACAGTAAGAAACTAACCTCTGTCTGTTTTTGTATTGTTTGTGACATTTTAAAACTTTTAGAGAAAAATAAAGTTAATGTTGCTGTGCTAAGTCCAAATTCTATAGTAACTATTCTATAGTAAGGTCATAATAAATTGTATGTCATGCCATGTGTTAATAATAATTAATAATAATAATAATAATAATAAAATGTTAAAATAATTGAGAAATATAACTTTTTTTTTTTTTTGAGGTGTAGTGGTAAATGACAGCAACATGTGATTTATTCGTTGTTACATACGTGACCCTGGACTACAAAACCAATTATAAAGATCCATTTTTAAAAATATTTCAATTTTTTTATACTTTTACTTGAGGGTACAACAAAATCTAAATATTGAGAAAATTGCCTTTAAATGTGTCCAAATGAAGTTCTTAGCAATGTATATTACTAATCAAAAATTCGTTTTTTTTGTATTTATTTTAAAGTTTTGATGTATTTATTGTGGGAAATTTACAAAATATCTGCATGGAACATGATCTTTACTTATATCCTAATGATTTTTGTCATTAAAAAAATCGATAATTTTGACCCATACAATGTATTGTTGGCTATTGCTACAAATATACCCCAGCGACTTGAGACTGGATTTGTGCTCCAGGGTCACATATATACCGTAACATTCATACTTGATAATATCAACTCTAAAAAAGAATAATAGACAACAACAAAAAAGGAAACAAAAACTCACTCCGTACCTCCGCTTGTGCCCAAAAAGAATCTCTCTGGATTCTCTGGATCTCTGCAGCTGCGATTGTTCGCTTGTAATTAGTGCCCTGGAAATAGTAAGGAGACAGTTTGATTTGTTTACCATTTTCCTGATTTTTATAGAGCTTAATTGTCTGACTGGCTTTACTGTACTTCTCAAAACTACTTCATAATTTAGTATTAATAAAGCCTTGTAGTAAGAAACAACGGTCATGATCTCATACCACAATGGCCTGTCTGTCTTCTGTCCGGCGGCCAGGTCTCCCTCTCGGCTCCTGCGTCACCACTGCAGCTTTATAGGCCAGCGTACAGATCCTCTCCTCTGTGATTTCATCCAAAGTGTGGGCAGGAAGAAAGATGTGAACTTCCTGAAGCATCAGAAAGACAAAAAATAGCAACAGACAAAATAAGCTTTTCCTTGTTTTTATGTCTTTATATTTTTTATTTTATTAAAAAAACTCTGCCCAACTAACAAGACGTCTAAAAGAAAAAAAAACAGAATTTAAGATCTCTGCATGCTCATGTATTCACAAAACAAGAATGACAATTATGTTGCTTTGAGGTTATCAGAATACAGTTAAAGCCATCCCATAATCCCTGTCGTCTTTTACCTTAAAGAAGGCCCTGATTGCTGGTAAATGACTGGCACACTCAGCTCTGCGGTACTCATCCACTTCATTTCCTACCTGAGAGACCACAAACACTGGTTAAAGGGAGAGAGATCAGACTGTTTTACATTAAGCTGTGTGGAGGATGAACTAACCCATAATATCATAGCGATGCGGGGTTGAGCTTTGCCCACCCTGCATATCCCATAAAGCGGCCGTCTAGGGTGAAGTTTATCCGTCAACTCTTTCAATCCACCTACTACAAAAAACAAGCATATAAACCAACCCACAAAACATAAAACCTTATTTATGAAGCTTTTTGTGCTCTTACCTCCAGAATCAGACAGTTTGAGTCTGTTCATTATTCCATCATAGGTAAATAAAGCCCTGTATACAGAGATAGAAGGAAACAGCCAGAGGGAATATTAAAGTTTCACTTTATTTCATTAAGATGGATAATTCAATTTAGGCAAGTTCTCTGACATTTTAGTTACAGGCATTTGAATGCTTCTGTACTGATGTTTCAGTTTTGGTTCTTTGTATGTATGTATGTATGTATGATTAATTGATAGTTTTCTTTTAGTGTTTAATGCATACAAAATGTAAGTCAGTAAATCACAAAAAAAAAAAAATCGGTATTTCAGTATAGACATTTTTTTAACAAAAAATACTTTATCATTATTTGAATTCATATATTATACATCCAATAGACAGCCTAAGGTGGGACAAAAGGATGTATTGAAAGTTCAGTATAGTAAATTAAACGGAAAATAAAAACTAATTTTAGACACAAATGGCACCATTTCCTGTGAATGACGCCCATATAAAGGACCCTTCTTGGATCCCTAGGGTCTTCTGTAATCTGTTCACACCCAAAAACAAAAGGGCAGTTTTCCCACATTCTCATGACAACAATGCCCGAACATACAACAGTAAATACAGTAACATGAAGTACAACCCTGAGCTCTTAATTTAGAAACATTACAAACAAAAAAATCTATGAATTTGGTTATTTGGACACTGGAGCCATTATGTCTGTCGTTCTTGGAAATCACTATGTTAAGTATGTCAGTCATTCTTGAAAACCTAGAAGGATAATCGCATAGACTGTTAATCCAAACATCTTGAGCTGAAGCTCTTGACTGCATAGACACTGTCAAGCGTGTTACATCTAACTTGTGTAAGACACACATTTAAGCTGCTTGGGTGCTATTATGTTATGTTACTATTATGTAGTGATGCATGTGACTTTTCGTAAGTTACTTAATAATGCAAGACACTACAGGGAGCAGTGTTTTTCATAAAGTGGTCCGTTTTGAGATTTGGCTATTTTCCTTCTATAACATGACTTTTTTAGTGAAAGAAAATATCCAAAATACACATTTAAGAGTTTATTATTACACTTTGGCCATCTGTAGATTTCACTTACAATATATATCCTTATCTTTAAGGTTTTTATCAGAGTGGTTTGTTCATATATTGTTTGACCTGATTTATAACACATTTTATTCCTAATGTTTTAATTTATTTTTCTGGCTGTTGACTATTTTCTGATTTATGGAGGGACCAAAAGAGAGATCTAAATCCTCTAACTCTAAAATAGCAACAAGAATCATATGTTCAGATTTCTGTCCTGGAAACTGATGCAAATTAGACTGTAATATTTAAACACAGGATATCAGAAAACGATTGTCTTGTACTGTAATAATCTGGGGAAAGTACAGTGATAATTATTAGTTAAATTTTTTTACCCTATTCACCTCTTAAATGTACTGTATAGAACATAAAACATTATGCTTTATTATAGATACACATACTATATTATATTTAAAAAAACGGAGGAAATGACAGAGACAGGAAGGCAACGAAGATGCAGAGTCCTGCTTTTTCAGACTTCCGTGTTTAGACTAGCACCTTTGTAAGGCATCTGGCACTTTCTATCTCTGTTTAATATGGGCTTGAATCCATTATTAAAATTACATTTGAAATATCTGATTACCTGAAGTGGATAAAGCTAAATAATGTAATACAGATCTGAACTACACATGATGAAATTAGGACATGGTTTGAATAATTTAATGAGGCCTTGGTTTAAAAACAGCTTAGAGTTTAACATCAAATCAAATGAAATGCTGTTTGAAAGTCAGGAAAGAAATCCAAAAGGTTTCTCTTATCAGGAACACACTGACTGAATAAAGTTCAGAATCATACAAACTTTGTTTTTAGCTCATAAACAACCAACATTCTTTCTTTTGAAAAGTCCTTCCAGCGGCGACATTCTCCCTTTTAAAACGTTTCCTGTGACAACAGTAGCCAGAACAACAGGAACTGCTCTGCCTGTGGGCATGTCTGCATTTTAGCCCCCAGCATGGTCAAAACAATCCATGTTCAGCAGATGCTTGACCCACACACACACCTCCTTGCTTTAGGTTTATCATCTCAGATTGTAGGATAGTTTGTCATACAGGCTGATTTTGCAGATAAACATGCTCATTTAGATAAGCTAAGCAGGGGTATTTACAGAGGAAATTGGTCTGGGAGGGGGTTGTTTGGTCATTAAGATAAGACAGACATTCTGAAATGTAAATCATCAGATCAAGACACTGCAGCATTGAAGTCTGGACTAAGTTAGTAAGTTTGGATGAAATGACAAAAAAAAAAAGAAACTTCAAAACGAAGACGTGTCACATTTTTGTGGAATTCGACCTAATTCTTTTAAATGTGAATTTTTTTGTCCTATTAATTTAAACGGGGTCGTTGAGGAACACTGAATATCTCCCTAACAAACACACATATAAGCAAACCCATATGTGTAGTGGAATAGCTTCACAGTATTTATTTTCTTTCCAAGGAATTTCAGCATGAGCATAGTGTTTTATGTGGTTGTCGGCGTTTATGAATAATTAATAGCTTAAAACAATTAAATAAGAGCAATGGAAAATTGTCTTTTTTTCAAGACCCCAAAACGCACCTATAATATACCGCCTAGCAGAGTGGCGCAGCGGAAGCGTGCTGGGCCCATAACCCAGAGGTCGATGGATCGAAACCATCCTCTGCTAACAACTTTTCACTTTTACAAAATTGGATATTATGTATAGGATCTATCATATTTTGATGCATTACACATGTATTATTATTATTATTGTTATTAATTACTTATTATTGCTGTGTAAAAACATTTGCCATTTCATTAAAAGTTATGTCCTATGGTCAGACACATTTCTTGGTAAAAAAAACAAAACAATATTTTAAATTTAAAACAACTACACGTATCCTGCTCACAATTTTAATTCATTTTACGTTTTTTTTTTACTGTAAGAATCTGAGTTATATTTGCTATTAATTACGTATGGATTTAAAAAATAAGCAAATAAACAAAAACTGTCATCATACCAGTTTGTTGACGAGCGTGGATTCAGGATGTCTTCTTTTGCCGTAAGTAAAGACAAACTGTATGTATCCAGATCAACTTCCCTCATAGATTTCATGATGTTACTTTAGAAGGTAGGCTATGATATCCAGAAAAAACGTGACTATAATAACATGTAGTCATACAGCAGATCTCGTTATGGCAGCAGCTATATGTCCTCCTGAAAGATTAAAATAGCCAGCATTTGTCAATTGTATGCAAACTCTTAGGAAGCTTAGAAAAAAACATAAGCCACTCCTGCTCGGAATAAATAGCGGTTTACATTGTTTCAAAGGTTGGCCACTGATAAATCCCACCCATTCAATTTAAATTAATAGAGCAATATTGAGTTAATGCTTTATTATGAAAGAACAATAAATAACAAAAATAACCTACACTGTTGGCTTTCTGAGACAATTTAGTGTAATGTTTATATAAGCCTTTACAGTCATTTAATCAATAATTTATGTCTGTTATGTAGGTTATATCACATATGTTTATGCTTACAAACATATTGGTTATTAAATAAAATCATACCAGCTGCGAGCTAGGAAAGATATATGGAATATATTCAGAAATATTATTTTATTCTAAAAAGGTTATTTTAATCGTTACTATATTTTAATGCACACACAAATGAAATCTCATATAAATAAATAAAAAACAAATAATATTTGTATCTATTTTATATAGAAGTGCATACTCATAAGCTACAACTCTCAGCCAATAGCAGCGCGCGTTTCGTGTGTGACATCAATTTCATGCGCCGCCGCTACACACACACACGACACCGGCTTCGCGCCGATTCTTATATCGATTGAAAATGTCAACTGTTCAAGAAGTTGATGAATAAACGCGATTAGTTGCTTAATTATAGTATTGTATGTATTATATTTAGTGTAATGTTAGGTTAGCGCTGTTGTAGTTTTAGTTTTGTGATCCACGTGGGCACATTGATGACATTTCGTGTGTACTGTAACGTTAGTTAATGACAGTTGTTTTCAAAACACAGCCTTTTCAGTTTTTGTAGGATCTCCATTAAGCCCAGACCAGGATGAAGTGTCACTATGAGGTGTTGGGCGTTAAAAGAGACGCATCGGACGACGACCTGAAAAAGGCTTATAGGAAATTAGCCTTGAAATGGCATCCAGGTATTTGATTTCATCTGATCTCTTTGATAATTCATAGATGTTATTGTCCTATGTTAATAAATAAGGCTGTTGGTGTCGCCTGTTTTTTACGATTCCTCAGTGATGATCTGTCAATTGCTGTTGGTTATAGGACTAACATTAGTTTAACCATGAAATTATGTTATAATGCAGCTCATATTTTTTATTTATTTTGATTTTAGACAAGAACTTGGATAACGCCGAGGAGGCTGCAGAGGAGTTTAAACTTATTCAGGCTGCGTATGATGTTCTGAGTGATCCACAGGAGAGAGCCTGGTAAGATCTCCAATGAACAACAACTGCGTTCGCCATATCTGAAAATATATGTAGCTCAGTTCAAAATTAATGAGATTTTACTTAAGGCTTTGTTTATGTTACCTGCCCTGTGTGAACATGCTTAAAAATGATGGTTTCTTTCCGAAAATGAATATTTTATTCACTGCTGTGATGTTGCGAAGCTATATTTTCTTCCACAACATGATACGTTTTTTGCAAAACATGTAAACCATTGTTATTGATATAGCCTAAAAGTGGATAGTGATTTTTCATGCCAATCTTTATATTGAAGACATGTGGGCTATACTCAGATTTTTATGAAGTCATAGTTTTATGAAACAGACCAAATATTAAGTTATTAAGTGTTCTCAAATCTCATTCACATATTCAAAGTATCAAAATGTAACGTTAAAAAATGAAGAACAATAATAATAATTCTGTTTCTTGCCCTCCAGAATCATGATCCAGAATACAAATCGGTTTATTATAGCGCAATTATATTGTCTGGGACTGAGAAATTGCAAGGCATGTTTGTAGTAATTAAACACAAGTAAATAAAGAATTACAAAATATCTGTTGCACTGTATGTACATATTGTGTGACATTTTTTTTAGTTGGAATATTAAGTTCTGGAATGTTTTTCATGTATATTTTGGTGTGCAATGCATAGTATAGGTTTTAATTATATGGACTCTTTACTTGATTATCAGGTGTCATTTTTGGAAGGACACCTAAAATTCCCATGAAAACAAAAAGTTTGCAGAAATTCAGTTGTATGAAAATCAACCTCATGGCTTATGGGGGTGCTGTTTAAATGAGTAGTTTACCCTTTTTCTCATCCTCATGTCATTCCAAACTGATATTGCAGTTATTTTTTCCATTTAAAAGAAGAAGGTGAATTTAGCTATTTCCCATATGGTGGTATGGATACCTTTGTGGTATTTTTTTTTTGAGCGTGACAGAAGTGGCCACTGTTGTTGTACAAAAGAGCTTCTTCAAAATTCTTCTTTTGTGTTCAGTGGAAAAATGGCATATGGGCTTGGATTGACAGATGTATTGAATGTTGTTGTTGTTGCTAAATCTACTGACCTACATGTTCTAGCTGTGTAACAAAAATTAGGATTCATCAAAACTGTGGACTTGTATTAGTATTGGATGCATCAGGAATGGGTTGAAAATTGTAAACAGATCAGTAATACTAATATGAATAATATTATTATATTAATATACATTTCAAAGTGTATACTTTGCAGCGTATGTCATTGCTTTCCAGTTAAAGGGAATTTATAGCCATTTTTTCTATATAAATCCCAGCTTTTATTGCAAATGAACAATAATTATTTCTGTAGTTATTTGTTATTACGCATTTAAAAATAAAAAATGACTTGTTTTCTGGCACACATAGAAAACACTTACAAATTTTTTTGGGGGGGTAATTTATGTAATGTTTTAAAAATACCAATAATACTACTCAGTATTTGGCCTTTTTTAGACTAAAATTACTATTACAGCCTTTGATATAATCCCATTAATATTTATTTAATTTAATTTAATTTTTATAATAATAATTATTATAATATTTATTTATGTTAATATGGCTGTTACTTTTGTTTTAAGGTATGATAACCACCAAGAGGCGCTGCTGAAAGGGGGTGTCAGCGGAGAGTACCAGGATGACAGCATTGATCTCTTGCAGTTCTTCACTGTCATCTGCTACTCAGGTTACGGAGATGACGAAAAGGTGAATATTTAAAATTCATTTTTTGTCAGCCAGTAGCCACACATTCACGTGTGCGCTCATATCAGACATGTTCTTGTTTTTCATCGGTGTTCACTTCTAAATGCGTGAAATATGTCAGACAGATGTCTTTTACCATTGCATTTTATCTGTAACTAAATGAGAGATTTTATTTCATATTATATATTCTATGTATATTTTTGATTTATTAATGTTGATTTATTATGTCTTGTATTATCTTTACATAGCTATATCTGTCTGTTGTACCATCCTGTACCGCTGGAGGGCAGTAGAAGTTTATGTTGAAAATTCTTTTCATGTTTGGAAAGATTCCGACAGTTTATTGTGGAAATGCATGTATTCTGTGTTTTAATAGTGCAAACTCTTTCTCTTTTTTTCTCTGTAGGGCTTTTACACTGTATACAGGAATGTGTTTGAGACTATCGTAAAGGAGGAGATGGAGCACAGTAAAGATGAGGAAGAGGAGGAGGACGTGTTTCCCTCATTTGGAGACTCTCAGAGTGACTATGACACTGTATGTAGACACTGAAACATACAGTACAGTTTTCCACAAAAATATAAAGCACAACTGTTGTCAATATTGAAAAAACAAAACAAAACTGTGACTCTGAAGACTGGAGTAATGGCTGCTTAAAATTCATATTATTCTTTTACTGTCATTTTCATCAAATAGATTGAGCTTTGGTCAGACTTAAGAGACTTCTTTTAAGAATACATATAAAAAAATCTTACAGACTTCTGAACTGTTCTTTTTAGTGAACCAGAATCATTTAATTCCCTAGAAAATGAAACAAATCTTTAGACAGAATAAATGTATGGACTCTAAGAGCTGGTTGATGAACCAAAAAAACCAAAACAAACTCAGTAGTTATCAATTTGTTATAGATTTTGAGATGATAGGAGAGTATGCATTGTGTTTATTAAAGAGATATGTATTTATACCATGAAGATGGAATACTTGAGTATTAAAACATGGCATCAGAGTTCTAGTGCATTTTAGACCTTACAGCCAAATGAGACTGTGGATAATTAGCTTGTTAGATAAATGGAACATAAAAGTATTCCATCTATAAATACTTCTTTCAGCTACTACAGGTAGCAGGATGGCACTCTTTCATTTCTGAAAACATTTTTCAGATTGTTAGCTAAAAGAGTGGAAAGCTTCACATTTGGTTCAAGGGATCCAGCATCTCCAGAGTCTGAACATTGAGGTTCATCCCACTCCAGTTAGGCCTGAGGGATCTTAAATGATCTTAACCGTTTCCCATTCTGGTGTGGCTCGTACTTGCACTTTACCTAATGGATGTTTTGGAGTGTTTGCCGTCAGTGGAGGCTTGCAAGAAGCAGATGAACCGAGGATGAGTGTATAAGCCCACTAAAATCTCTTCATCTTGTTAAAAGGAAGAAGCATCCAAGAAGTCTATACATAAAATCTAGTTGTATAGTATTATTACATTTGTCTGTGTTTCCCCTAAATAATTATCTTTATTTGTTTCTCAGGTGGTGCATTTATTCTATGGCTACTGGCAGAGCTTCTGTACACGCAAAAACTTTGCATGGAAAGAGGAGTACGACACGCGACAGGCCTCCAACCGCTGGGAGAAGAGAGCCATGGAGAAAGAGAACAAGAAAACCAGGGACAAGGCCAGGAAAGAGCACAGCGAGCTGGTGCGCCAACTAGTGGCCTTCGTCCGAAAACGCGACAAGCGCGTTCAGGCTCATAAGAAGCTGGTGGAAGAGCAGAATGCAGAGAAGGCCAAAAAAGTTGAAGAACTGAGGAGAAAACAGAAGCTCCACCAAGCAAAGTGAGTAAGATTAGACATAACTGGGTGATATATTTTTTCATGCAACAGTTAAAATGTGATATATATTTTTTTTATATTTTATTCAGACTCCATTATTATATTTAAATAGAAACCTGGAAATATAACAGAGTTTTTAAAATTTAAATATATAAAATAAATAAATAT